AAAGACAGCCCTGAGTGGAGCAGGAGCTTTGTGATTGGTGCAGAGAGGAAGGAAGCTGGTGCCATGTTAGCATTTTTCAAGTATGCCTTCCTTTCCCCTAATCTCTTCACTGTAGTCCCTCCTCCTGTGTCTGTAGGTGAAGGATGACTCCAGGGCCCTGACTTTAGGAGCACTGACCCTGCCTCTGGCCCGCCTGCTGACTGCCCCAGAACTCACCTTGGACCAGTGGTTCCAGCTCAGCAGCTCTGGCCCAAACTCCAGACTCTACATGAAACTAGTCATGAGGGTATGGAAATGGAGGAGGTGCTGAGGGTTGGGAGAAAGGCCTGTTGATTCGTTGGTCTGAAGAGTGAGGAAAGGGAGCCCCCTAAGATTAAATGAGCTAATATATATGGAAATGTTGAGCAGGCACACAAAACATATTTGTTGATCTGACTGGTGGAAGGAATGGCTTGTGGGTTGAGGGGGTGTGGAGGGAACCCTCTAGAGATGACCCAGCCAAGGCAGCACCTAGTTCCTCTGTCAGAGCCCCTCCTCTAGCCCACCTCACATGCCGTGCCTGCTGGTGGCAAGCTGCACTTCTTTGATTCAACATCATGCTACGCTTCCCAGATCCTGTACTTGGATTCATCAGAAGTAAGCTTCCCCACTGTGCCCGGCAGTCCTGATGCTTGGGATGAGGACAATGAGAGTCCCCAGAGAGGCAGCAGTGTGGATGCCCCACCTCGACCCTGTCACACTACTCCTGATAGCCAGTTTGGGACTGAGGTGAGTCTGTATCTGGAAAGGACTAGGGTCTGTTTGCCCCACTAAGTGTGCAAAGCCTGTTTGAAGGCGGATTCTCACAGGTCTCTCTCCCTTTGCCATCTGGTGTCCCCTCTGTCCCTTTTGCAGCATGTGCTTCGGATCCATGTATTAGAGGCCCAGGACCTGATTGCCAAAGACCGTTTCCTGGGGGGACTGGTGAAGGGCAAGTCAGACCCTTATGTCAAACTAAAGCTGGCAGGACGAAGCTTCCGGAGCCATGTTGTTCGGGAAGATCTCAATCCCCGCTGGAATGAGGTTTTTGAGGTCAGAATTCAGTGGCTGTGACTCCTGGTTCTGCCCCATTTCCCCCTCAACTCCAGGAGTGCTCCAGAAACCTCCGAGGTTCAGTTGCTTGGGTGGGAGGGTTCAGTTGTTTGCAGAGGAAAAGGAGAGAATCCCCTTTCATCTGCACTTTTTTCTCCCACTAGGTGATTGTCACATCAATTCCAGGCCAAGAGCTAGACATTGAAGTCTTTGACAAGGACTTGGACAAGGATGATTTTCTGGGCAGGTGAGAGGATAGGAGTCCAGGTAAAAAACAGGCTGGGCTCTTTAGGCTATGGAGTCTGGCCTCCGGGACAGAGACTTGGTTCTTACCATCTGCCTTTTGTCTTACTCTGTCTCCTCAACAGGTGTAGAGTGAGTCTCACCACAGTCTTAAACAGTGGCTTCCTTGATGAGGTGAGCATGGAACTAGAGTCAGTGACCCCTCCTGATCCTGCCCAAGCCTCATTCTCCTAGTTCTCCTGTCTGCATATCTGCAATTCTTCACCCTACCTACTTCCACAGTGGCTGACTCTGGAGGATGTCCCATCTGGCCGCCTGCACTTGCGCCTGGAGCGTCTCACCCCCCGTCCCACTGCTGCTGAGTTAGAGGAGGTAGGGCAGGAGACTGGAGGAAGGAAGGGATCCAAGATGGGGCAGGGTGAGCTCTTCTCTTAGCATTCAAGGCACATGCCAGACCCCAAGGTGTTAGTTACCACTCCCCACCCCCATGTGACCCCCGCAGGTGCTGCAAGTGAATAGTTTGATCCAGACTCAGAAGAGTGCGGAGCTGGCTGCAGCCCTGCTGTCCGTCTATATGGAGCGGGCAGAGGACCTGCCGGTAAGATCGCACTACGCTCCCTACGCCCCGTAACTTCCTGGCCCTTCTACCTCCCTCAGGTTTGGATGCTCCTGGTGTATGTGGAATAGGAAAAATGGCTCCTTTCTTTCTGAGGGTGGTGCAGGGGTGGGAAAAATTGTCTAAGGCCTCAAGGGTAGTGGCTACCAAGTAATAACAGAGGCATGGCTGTTGGCTGAGGATATAATTTGTGAGGGGGATCTGCCTAATTAGGTCCAAATTTAAGGCTAACACAGTATTCTCTTTCCAGCTGCGAAAAGGCACCAAGCCCCCCAGCCCTTATGCTACTCTCACGGTGGGAGATACTACTCATAAAACCAAGGTATGAAGCAATGCTGCAGGGTGGAAACGGGAGGGACAAGAGGAATAGGAGTATCAGTCACTGATCATAAGCCCCCATCTCCACCAGACCATTTCACAAACTTCAGCCCCTGTCTGGGATGAGAGCGCCTCCTTTCTCATCAGGAAACCACACACTGAGAGCCTGGAGTTGCAGGTACTATAAACTCATTCTTCCAAAATTTAGCAGATTTCTGCCATGGCCAGTCAGTAACCAGGCACAGAGCATTCAGAGATGAGATAAAAGATTGACTTCTTATCTTTATGGAGCTCACACTCTGTTTTGAGAGAAAAATAACCAGATAAAATTTCCAGAATGATAACTGAGATAAAAGGCACTGTGGGGAAGAAAGGAGGGGTTCAGGCTGGGGAAAAGCTGGAGATAGAAAGAAAGGCATCCTTAGATGACCCCTGAGCTTGAGAGTAGATTCTTTTTTTCTTTTTTTTTTTTTTTGAGATGGAGTCTTGCCCTGTCGCCGAGGCTGGAGTGCAGTGGTGCTATCTTGCCTCACAACCTCTGCCTCCCACGTTCCCACGATTCTCCTGCCTCAGCTTCCTGAGTAGCTGGGATTATAGGTGCCCGTCACCATGCCCAGCTAATTTTTGTATTTTTAGTAGAGATGGGGTTTCATCATCTTGGCTAGGCTGGTCTTGACCTCCTGACCTTGTGATCCACCTGCCTCAGCCTCCCAAAGTGCTGGGATTACAGGTGTTAGCCACTGTGCTCGGCCTTTTTTTTTGAGACTGGATTCTCACTCTTGTCACCCAGGCTAGAGTGCAATGGTGTGATCTCGGCTTACTGCAACGTCCACCTCCCAGGTTCAATTGATTCTCCTGCTTCAGCCTCCTGAGTAGCTGGGATTACAGGTGCCTGCCACCACGCCCAGCTAATTTTTGTATTTTTAGTAGAGATGGGGTTTCGCCATGTTGGCCAACTCCTGACCTCAGGTTTTACATCTGCTTCAGCCTCCCAAAGTGCTGGGATTACAGGTATGAGCCACTGTGCCTGGCTTTTTTTTTTTTTTTTGACAGGGTCTTACTCTATTGCCCATGCTGGAGTGCAGTGGTGCAGTCAGGGGTCACTACAGCTTCAACTCCTGGGCTCTAGCGATCCTGCCACCCCAGCTGGGATGACAAGTGTGCACTACCACACTGGCTAATTTTTGTATTTTTTTGTGGAGATGAGGTTTTGCCATGTCGTCCAGGCTGGTCTTGAACTCCTGGACTCAAGCATTCCGCCCACCTCAGCATCCCAAAGTGCCCAGCCTAAGGGTAGGTTGTTAAGGGTAGATTTCCAGGTTCTTCTGGACCAAGAAAATAAGAGCAGGAAAACTCTTTAGGCCGAGAAAAAAATGGAGGAGAGAGAAGGCATATTTATTATGATCCAAGAGGCAGGCAGAGCAAGATCATAGGGGTTATTGAATAGTATGCTATGGATGTTATCCTAAAAGCTCAGGGAAACCTTTTTTTTATTATTTTTTGGGATGGATTCTTACTCTTTTGCCCAGGCTGGAGTACAGTGGCACAATCTCGGCTCACTGCAACCTCCACCTCCTGGGTTCAAGCAATTTTCCTGCCTCAGCCTCCCCAGTAGCTGGGACTACAGGCCCTCCCCACCACATCCAGCTAATTTTTTTTTTTTTTTTTTTTTTTGAGATGGAGTTTCTCTTTGTTGCCCAGGCTGGAGTGCAGTGGCACGGTCTTGGCTCACTGCAACCTCTGGGATTATAGGCATCTGCCACCACGCCCAGCTAATTTTTTGTATTTTTCGTAGAGATGGGGTTTCACCATGTTGGCCAGGATGGTCTTGAACTCCTGACCTTGTGATCCAACTGCCTCGGCCTCCCAAAGCACTGGGATTATAGGCATGAGTCACTGCGCCCAGCCTTTTTTTTTTTTTTTTTTTTTTTTGAGACAGAGTTTCGCTCTTGTTACCCAGGCTGGAGTGCAATGGCGCGATCTCGGCTCACCGCAACCTCCGCCTCCTAGGTTCAGGCAATTCTCCTGCCTCAGCCTCCTGAGTAGCTGGGACTACAGGCACGCGCCACCATGCCCAGCTAATTTTTTGTAGTTTTCGTAGAGACGGGGTTTCACCATGTTGACCAGGATGGTGTCGATCTCTTGACCTCATGATCCACCCGCCTCGGCCTCCCACAGTGCTGGGATTGATTACAGGCTTGAGCCACCGCACCCGGCTTATTTTTGTATTTTAAATAGAGACCAGGTTTCTCCATGTTGGCCAGGCTGGTCTCTAAATCCTGACCTCAGGTGATCCGCTGCCTCAGCATCCCAAAGTGCTGGGATCATGGGTGTGAGCCACCGCACCCAGCCAAAGAAGCCTTTGCTGAGAGGTCACATATCCAGATCTGCATTTTGGTAAGCTCATGGGGATAACAGGGTAAAGCATGGACTGGAGTGGGACAACACCGGAGGCAGGGAGATCAGGGAGGAGACTGCTAGAGCAGGAAAAGCAATGAATGACAAAGGCCTGGTGGGATTTGAAGGTTGTTGTGACAAGGAGCAAGTAGAGGAGCAAGGAACAGCCCAGACGTTAACTCTGGGGTTTTTGGCACAAGGTGGCTGGATGGATAAGGGTGCTGTTGCTGACTTAGGGAGTGCACAGAGAGGGAATTTTAGAATTTGAGATCTCCACAGGACATCTAAGGGGAGACATGCAGAAGACAAATCTATTGCCCACGTGGTATTCCTTCCTCGCCCTCCTGTTGGAACATATGAGCAAGCAACCGCTAGCAATTGTAGTCATGGGTGAGATCTCTTAGGGAGCACAAATGGAGAGGAGACAAAAGATAGCCATGAGCTATCTTAGAGGCAGGAGCCACCGTGCCCAGCCGAAATTAACAGAATTTACAATAATGTAACTTAATGCTAGCAGAGTAGAAAGGAAGTACAAATGAGCTCAGTTCTTCATCTTTTATAGCAGGGAATCAGCAGAGATACAACAAGCATATTAGAATTCCGCAAGAACAAGAAAATAGGAGGGGTTTAAAGATTGCTACATTTGGGGCCGGGCGCGGTGGCTCAAGCCTGTAATCCCAGCACTTTGGGAGACCGAGGCGGGTGGATCACGAGGTCAAGAGATCGAGACCATCCTGGTCAACATGGTGAAACCCCGTCTCTACTAAAAATGCAAAACATTAGCTGGGCATGGTGGTGCGTGCCTGTAGTCCCAGCTACTCAGGAGGTTGAGGCAGGAGAATTGCCTGAACCCAGGAGGCGGAGGTTGTGGTGAGCCAAGATCGCGCCATTGCACTCCAGCCTGGGTAACAAGAGTGAAACTCCATCTCAAAAAAAAAAAAAAAAAAAAAAGAAAAAAACCAAAAAAAAAAAAAAAAAAAAAAAAAAGATTGCTACATTTGGAATATGGCAATGGGAGTAGAATAGGCAGGAAACATTTTCCTTTTAGTTTTTAGTTCTGTTTTTACTGTTGTTTTCTGTACTCTGTGCAGGTATTACTGGTATAATTTCTGAAAGCTTATGAAGTAAAGATGGTCCAATCTACTCTGGTTAAGAAAGGAAGGACAGAGGGACTAGCAGCTGTTACCATGGCTTCCCTGCCTTTCTCAAAGGGAAATCTCAACAAACCACCTAAGAGTCCAAGCGTTTGGACCTTTAACACCAGGATTAACTCATTTGTTGATGCATTCGCCTCTTGATCACAGTCCTGTTGCCCCACAGGTTCGGGGTGAGGGCACTGGCGCGCTGGGCTCATTATCCCTGCCCCTCTCAGAGCTCCTCGTGGCTGACCAGCTCTGCTTGGACCGCTGGTTTACACTCAGCAGTGGTCAGGGGCAGGTGCTACTGAGAGCACAGCTAGGGGTGAGTGACAGGAGATGGTGGGCAGAATGAGAGGGAGGAGGGGAGGACCTTCACAGCTGAGGGACACCCAGGAGGGTGGCAACAGAGGGCCGTGTCCTTAGTGTGAGGGAACTGAGAGAACTCTGCCCAGCTCACAGCTTTCTTGTCCCTAGATCCTGGTATCCCAGCACTCGGGAGTGGAAGCTCATAGCCACAGCTATAGCCACAGCTCCTCATCACTGAGTGAAGAACCAGAGCTCTGGGGGGGACCCCCTCACATCACCTCCTCAGCCCCAGAGCTCCGGCAGCGCCTAACGCATGTTGACAGGTAAAGGGCTGTAATAAAAAAGTATTACAGGTTCACCAGGCTCTAGCTGTTCCCAGACCTATTGATATTTCTCCATAGTCCCCTTGAGCCTCCAGCCGGGCCTCTGGGCCAGGTGAAACTGACTGTGTGGTACTACAGTGAAGAACGAAAGCTGGTCAGCATTGTTCACGGTTGCCGGTGAGACCCTATCCCCCCTGTCCTGGTCGCCTCCATCCCTTCCCTTGGGAAGGGATGTATCACCTACATCCTTCTGTTGCAGGGCCCTTCGACAGAATGGACGGGATCCTCCTGATCCCTATGTGTCACTGTTGCTGCTGCCAGACAAGAACCGAGGCACCAAGAGGAAGACCTCACAGAAGAAGAGGACCCTGAATCCTGAATTTAATGAACGGTCAGTCAGCGGGCATTCAGATGGAGGGATGGCAGGCTTGGAAAGGACTCCTGGCCCCTAACACCCAGTCCTATCCCAGGTTTGAGTGGGAACTGCCCCTGGATGAGGCCCTGAGACGAAAGCTGGATGTCTCTGTCAAGTCTAATTCCTCCTTTATGTCAAGAGAGCGTGAGCTGCTGGGGAAGGTAAGGGGGCAGGATGGCAGGGCAGAGGTGAGGGCTGGGAGCTGCTGGTACCAAGGCTGTAGTACCTGTTAGAAGGAAGTACCCTGGGTGATCTTTTAGAGGTGACTCTGTTACCTCTGCAATGGTTTGGGATGAGTGTGTGATGAAGGAACGTGGTCTTTGGAGATTTCAAAATAACATCATCAGAGATCCGGTCTCAAAAAAATAACATCTTGCCCCCACCATCCTCCAACACAGGTGCAGTTGGACCTAGCTGAGATAGATCTTTCCCAGGGTGTGGCCCAGTGGTGAGTATCTTCATGGGTCGGGGGTGGTCTGGATATTTAAGTGGGAGAAATTCCTATCACAGGAAAGGAAGAAAACATACAATATGAGCTGAGAACTATTGATTCTATGAAGTAGAGAAGTCCTTGGATTGTGTCTCAATTATAAATAAGACGACACAAGAGTCATCTTTTTTTTTTTTATTTTCTTTTTGTTCTTTTTATTTATTTTTTTATTCTTTAAGAGTCGTCTTTCTACATGAGCCTTCTTGTTTCCACAGGTATGACCTAATGGATGACAAGGACAAGGGCAGCTCCTAGGAGCCGGCCATCCCAGCCTGCCTCTGCTCTGTCTTCCTGCCTTTGTCTCACTGCATCACCACCTCAATGTGATGAGCCTAAAGCCAGGGTCCAAGGGCAGAGCCTTTGCCCTTCAGCCCTTTCACCTTTCACGCCCATATTCGGGCCTTTGTCTGACCAAAGAGAAGAACTGTATGTTCCATTTATTGCACGGCCTTTATCCTTCTGGGCCCTGGGGTGGGGCCTGAGCTGACTGTTTTCTGCTCTGCCTACATATTGTTCTCCCTTCCTCCCAACTCCTCAGGGCCTTCTGTATCTGTGCCTGGCCACTGGCAGCACTAGCAGTGATATTAGCTTATGCCAAATACAGCTTTGGAAGGATATTTTTTTCTTTAACTAGATGGTCACCTTCTTCCCTACCACAAATGGGTGGAAAGGTAGACAGCTAACCTCTCCAGCTGTGAGCCTCTTGGACTACTTCCTGCATGTAGCAAATGGACAATAGCTCAGGCCCCCATGTCCAGTTCTGTCCCCACTTTCCTCAAGCCTGTCCTGAAAATTCTACTCCTCTGATGACTGGGGCCAGTCTCTTGATTCACTCTGGGAACTGGGGACACTTGGATTCTACCCAAGCCTCCACGTAGTGGGATATCAGTCTTGGAGCTCCTAGCTGGTGATATGCAGAGGGCCTTGGAGGACTTGGGACAGCAGGGCCAATTTTTTTGCCCAAGTGCCTAGGCTGTTAATTCACTGACTAGAACTGAATCTGGTATTCTTTAGTTTTGCACCAACTCTGCCAAGCCACTGCATCTTATATTAAACATCATACTCAAACCAGCTGTGGCTCTCTTCCTTAAGGCTAAGGAATCAGCCTACCCATCTGATATTTATTCCAACTGTCAAAAGCCTTTATCCAATTCATGAATCATGTCTGTTTAATTAATGGTCAAAGCCTACTAAGGTTGCAACCACCAAGAATATTGAGGATGGTCAAGAGACCTGTGTCAAGTAGCCGCTGTTGCATTTCAGGTGAGACTCATTTCCAGTCACCATGATGAACTCTGTTACCCATCCAATTTGTCTACTGACCACTCTAGGCTTTCTAGGGAAGGGATTCCTACACCTGGTAAAACTAGAAGCTTTGTGCCACTGCACAGGCTCCCAGTGTGTCTGTGCCATCAGGGCATGCTCAGCTACATCCAAAATGGCTTCAGACCCATCTAACAGGAGCTGAAGTACGCCAATTTGGATATCTTTTCGCCTTGAACTCTGCTCCTTGCAGGAACCTTCCTGGAATGCAAGCTAGAGAAGCTGTGCTCCATCTGTTCCTCCAATTGAAAGGAGAGAGATGGACAGAGTGAACTACTGAAAACAGGGTCACTGGCATAGGAACTTGGGGATTTCATAATTGCCTCAGGGGGACTTTATCATCTTCTCTTGAAAAATATAAACCTAATTTTTGTATTTTCAGTAGAGACAGAGTTTCACCATATTTTGGTCAGGCTGGTCTGAACTCCTGCCCTTGTGATCTGCCCATCTTGGCCTCCCAAAGTGATAAGATTATAGGCTTGAGCTACCATGCCTGGCCGAAACTCATATTTTTAAGGTCTTGTCAAATTTCTAGATACTGGCTGGGCATACAGCCTAAGGCCTGCTGTTGTAGCTGGCATCAGATAATACAAGCTAGGACTTTGCAATGTGTGATTTTAAGAAACATTCTTAACTAGTTTAGAAACATGAGAAACATTCTTAACTGGTTTATCACTTCAAGTAATTACATTTCCAGAAAACTAGAGGAGATGGCACAAATTCTCTCATCCCAGAAGGGTCCCTAATCGTTTCTAACCTTTTGGAGTTCAGTATATATAAGGGAAGAGGTCCTAATCTACATATTAAATACAAGATGATGGCTAACTTCGATGGCTCACACCTATAATGCCAATATTTGGGAAGGCTGGCCAAGGCAGAGGATCCAGAGAAAACCCCCACCCTTAAATAATAAAAGTTAGCCAGGCTTGGTGGTATGCACCTGTAGTCTCAGCTACTCAGGAGACTGAGGCAGAAGGATGGCTTGAGCCCAGGAGTTCAAAATCAGTGAGCTAGGATTATGCCATTCTACTCCACTCTGGGTG